CCCCCCCCCCCCCCCAGGGAGCAGGTTGGCCTCTTTCCTCATACACCCATCCCATTCCCTTTACCCTGCAGCTCTGTTACCTATGCAATAATAACTATTTTGGACCTTTAATCACTGGTGGTTTCATTGAGGGTAGCAGCTTAATGGAGGTTCAATTGTACTTACTTTAATTAGCCCCTCTGATCGCACACAATAACACAACAGGTTTCATTTAACAACAGTTTATTGCAGTTACTGCAAAAAGTTAACAATAATTGTACGTAGTACTATTTTATATAACATTTTCTTTTCCACGGCACTGCATCTTTCAAGTTAACCACAAATTACCAACAAGTCAAACACCAGTCAAAACGCATACTAAAGTGAACGTATTTGTATACAACAGTCACTGGAGATGTCTCCTTTTTAGCAGTTATAACAGAGGTCATAACCAGCATACCTACAGGACACACCTTGTTAACCCTTTAAGCCCTCAGAGTGATCACTTCTTTATAAAACAGTGGTCATGAGAATTGAGGATATGATCACAGAAGATGAATCTAATTGATACTTCAACAAATTCTCCCTACTACTTCTATTGAAAACGTATAGGGATAACAAATGAGAATTTGAGTTTTGATATTAGGGTTTAAAGGGTTAAGACAAATGGGACAGTTACAGCTTATTATCTCAAGGGCCCTATGAAAAGATTCTTGCTGGTTTCAAGGAGTTGCTCTTCTGAATGCACAGGGCAGACTGTTTGATTCTTATGCCTGAAATGGTTTGATAAAACCAAACCATTATTTTTGAATGTGCTCAAAGTGGAAGAGGCATCGGAGAGGGTAGGAAGATTTCTGACGCATGGGAGGCGGCCATAATATTGATTTCTATTGACTGGTGTGCCCTAATAAGTACAATAGTTTTGACTGTTCACATTGTCATATAATATGACCCATAGGGTCTCTAAGTTATAAGTAGACCCTTTCCTACCAGGCAATCACAAGACAGTCAAATCTTTTTTGTCATCACTTAGTAACAGCAAAAAGCCTTCGGGAAAGTGTTCCTGATAGCTTCAGAGAAAAAATACTTGATTGTTTGGAAGGAACGGGTCTTATCAATCTTATTAACTTTGTAACTTTTATAGAAATCTGAATTCACTTAAACTACTAACTAAATGGAAGTAACGCAAGGTTTTTATCATGACTATAGTAGAATTCCACTCCCAACACTCGCACAGCAAGGTTAAGAACATGGACAACTTGACTTTCAATCTCTTACTTCCTGAACGATCTTGAAAATTATTAATATAACTAGAAGGCTTAACATTGTTTTAAATAATAAATTATATTGGCATTAGTGCAGTATAGGTAAGTTTGGATGTGCATAAGACAACCATAAACAGATTAAAGAAATAGATTTCGTCTTGGAACTGTTTTTCAATGATTATTTAGACTTATTTTAAGTTAAAAATACATAAAGGTCAAACAACTGACCAAACACTGAGAAAAAGGTTTTGGGACAACTTTGCTCTTGTCCATGCACATGGCTTACGCTGGCTTTTTGAGTTCAGGTTAAAATGGCAGACAAAAATGTAAACACAACTCATCTTTCCAATGGAGTTTTCGCACGTTTGCAATGCCCATTTGTGAGGGTGAAATCTAATCAAATTTCACTTTCATAGAAAAAATAAATAGGGTTTAATTAACACAAACAGGAATTTTGACATTTAGTGAAAATTGCAAAACCTATCTCAGAGTAAGAACTTTCTGGTGACTGATCTCAACACAATTGTCTCCTTAGCTCTTAAATAAGCAGCAGTCATGAATGTAACAAAATCCACACTTATGTTGCTGAATTTCTATGAAATATTGAACTGGTAGAAAAGAAAAACGGAGCATGTTCACAAAACTTTACAAA